TCTCAGGCCGGGTTATTCATGCGGGAAGGGGCCTCAGGGGGGTTTTGGTGCGATGTGCTGGAAGCAGGGGCAAATGTGAGGTGGGGCCGAGGTGCTGAGGGCTTTGTCCCTTCTGGAGCCGAAAATCTCCAAGGTTGGGGGCTGCACAGCGTCTCTGTGTTGCTGCTGACAGCCGTTAGGGTGAAAAAATGATTGTAAAAACAGTCTGCACGTGTGCTAGGTAGAAACCAGCCCGTGAGGGGTGCTGCTCTCTCCTTGCGCAGTGCTGTAGTCAGGAGGCTTTAAAAATGTTTTAAAATATTTTTTTCCTCAGGGCTTTCTTGTGCTTTTAGTTTTAAGGCCTGTCTTAACTGACATTCTTTAAATCTGACTAAAGAAAGTGCGTGTAACAGTTTGTTTTCAGCTGATGTTGTTGTTGTTGTTTTTGCTCTGAACCTAGTTCTCGCTGCTCCACAAACAAGCCTGGTTGCTGTCAGATGTGCTTCTAAGAAAACTGGAGGCAGCTCAAAAAACTTAGGTGGCCGCAGCCCTGGGAAGCGCTATGGATTCAAAAAAGTAGAAGGTAGGTCTGAGTATCTGCTGAGTCTTATTTGTGTTTCATTGGGTTGTTCACAGCTTCTCCCTAGCGACGGTATTAGTTGTTGAGTATTTCAGTGGGAGGTGGCCAGAGCGCTCTTCCAGGAGAAAGGAAAGGGGAGGTTCAGTGAAACCTCGTGATGGAGGGTAGCCAGCGGGAGGGCAGGGTGAGCCAGCCTCCCTCCCAGATGGGCCTGCGAGTGGCCAGCCAAAATCGCCTACAGAAAATGTACTTTGATTCTAACTCTGCCTCTCTGGAGTGCCTGGGAGGAGGGTGCGCTGCGGGACACATCATAGCTTAAGTGCACTTTTCCCCCACGCTGTGTCGAAAAGCTGGGCATTTAGGTGTTTACAAAGAGGAGAATTATGAGGCTTTGCAGAAGTCAAAGTACAAATTCTTGCAGCTGAGTGCTTAACAATTATTAGCTTTGCCCATGAAAACACAGCGATGTAAAAGGTAATAAAACAAATGCCTTCAGCAACCACAAAATGCCTTGTACCCTAAAGTAATCTTTTCAAAGGCTAGAATTGCTTTTTGCCATTGTGTATCAATTGCCCTTTATTTCCTGCTAACAGCATTTTTGATTAGATGCTTTTAGCATTTGAAGTAACTTTTCCTTAGAAAATTCCCACAGAAAGCTGGGGTTTGTAAGTCCTGGAACCGTTTGTGTTCTGTCAGGACTTCAGAGAGCTCCGTTTCTCTCCAGTCTGACTCTGTCACTCTGTTGCAGGTACATTCGTGCATGCAGGCAACATTTTGGCTACGCAGCGGTTGATACGCTGGCATCCAGGAGCTCATGTGAGTTGCTTTTCCATCTCTTCCTTGGTTCTCAGAACAGCAGCCTGCAACAGAGTCCCGTACTCAGTGCCTCCTCCCTCAAGCTAGTTTTTAATGCTCTTCCCTATATCCTGTATAATCCTGAAACTGGGGTTCATTACCTGGTATTTCATAGTCACAGACCCGGCTCAGAGTCACACCTGTGCCCGTGTGATTCAGGAAAGGGCTGGCAGTTTTGGATATCTTAAAATACTTCTGTAACCTAACGGGGTTCTGGTGCTTCAGGGTGGCACTTGTATCTTCTCCCTTGTAATGAGCGCCATTGCGTACTGATTGCTGGAAGCAAGTCGTATGGTTTTCTTTTATTTTAAAAGACAAAGCAACAGATGCTGTTGAAGCCAGAATATCAAACAAGGCAGACCAATGATCAGATCTGCTTTAATGGTGGACCTCCAGCCTTTCCTTTCTAACACTTCCCCTCTTCCAGGTGGGGATGGGCCGTAACAAGACACTCTATGCGCTGGAGGATGGGATCGTGAGATACACCAAAGAGGTCTACATACCTCCTCCCCGCAGCACCGAGAGCAGGGAAGTGATCTGCCGTCTGCCCAAAGGAGCAATTCTTTATAAAACCTTTATCAATGTTATTCCTACCACAGAAGTAGGAAGCTTTAAACTGGTCACCATGCTCTGAGCCTCCTGCGGCACGTAAGGACAATGGGAAGGAGCGGCTGGGACAGACCTCTCCAGCTGGACTGGCATCCGAGGATGGGAATGCTCTAGCTCTGAAGATACCAACGTAGGACTTCGTTTTCTTGCTCCTAGAGCACACGTGGTCAGTGTTCAGGCACTAGGATCACCTGCTGGCATTTGTAAGAGTGTTTAATAAATGCTGTGTGGCTGTTGAAGGTCTTGATTGTTCACAGAATTATTACTCATGTTCATCTAGGATCGAGCTGCCTTCCTCTGGAGAACCTGTTCCGTTGTGCTACTGCATGAGTTCTCTCTACAGTCACTCTCACGTCAGTACTCATTCCCACTAATAATTCCCTCTATCTATTTTTACTCATTTTTAGACACTACTGTTATATTTGTATCTTAATTTGAAATACTGCAGAGCAAATCCCTTTCCAGTGCATCCAAGGAAGCTAGATTTTTCCTTCTAACTAACTCACCTCAATGAGTAACTCAAAATATCTGAAAGTGTTCCATTTACAAGCCATGTGAGGCAAGTTCACACTCTAAAGCAAATTCATGACTAATTTAGAGTGCCTGGGAAGATGCATGAGTCTGGGGTGGTATTTGAAGCTCAGCAGTTGGAGGTGTATCATAAAGCCACCATCCAGAAGGCTTATCCTTTGGTCTTTCCTAAGTCATTCCGTGGCATTCTCGAGCTTACGTAGCTCGAAATAAAGGAGCCCAAATGCCTTGTGACCAAACTGGTCTAATTTTGTCTACAGGTTTGTAAACAATTTGAAACATAGGCTCTGCAGAAGAAACCAGGTTATCAAAACTGGCGGTGTAAGGGCACTGGAACTGACATTATTAGATTGTCCACTCTGCAGAAGACGAGTAGGTGAACTGGCTCAGCCACACACATCCACCTTTGCTTTACAATTGCTCCAAGCCGCAGAGGACCGTTGCTGTGAGAGCACACGGCAATACTCTGCTGCAGATCCATTCTGCTGCTCACAGGTGAGGACTCCCACCTGGTATCCAACACACCGATAGAGTAAAACATTTTATAACCTAAGAAATCAGTGAAGTAGCACAACAGGAGCTCTGGCTGAGGCTGGATCCTCGGTGCGGCTGGCAGTGCTCGCCTCGCAGACGTACAATAACAGCAGCTGCCCGGAGGAGCTCTGGCTGAGCAGACCTTCGCCTTGGCCCCCACGCAGAAGGAAGGACCTGGTCTGTCGCCTTTGGTGACAGTGTGTTTGCCAGAGAAGAGCGAGCAACACCCCTGATTGCCCTGCTGCGGGTGCGGTACCTGGCGGTGGCTCCGGGGATGTCCCTGTCCTGTCCAGGGACGTCTCCGTGGGCTGGCTCTGACTTGCCTGTGTCGTGGCTGATTGCAAATCGGGGTGGGAGTCTGAGGTTCAGCCGTTCCCTGCGGAGGAGAACGGTGTCACAGGCACTTTGTCGCTGACACCGTGGGAAGCAGCAGCACGCCGAGGCCTTACACAGCCGTGTTTCGCTGAGTCTGGTGGCCAAGAGGGGCCTGGAACGGGTCGGGCACACTGCGTCTGCCCAAGGTCTCCGAGCTTGTTACTGTTCCTGAGAAAGCTGGAGGATGCCTCAGAGCGTGCTCGTAGGGAGGCGGCATCTATTGAGGAGAGAGTTACAGCTGATCAGAAATAACTGGGAGATTATCCCACGTCTTCTCACAGAGCTGATGACAAGGCTCACAGCCACCACTAGCCTGGAAGTAAATTCCTGCAGCGCTCAGAGCAGCGAGCTGCTGGTGAGGTGAACACCTGGAAGATCAGCGCTTAGCACTGGTTTGAACGTGGCAGGGTGGAAATCCGCTGGAGGCACATTCCCCCTGCTCCCCCCTCACATGCTCTGTGCCAGGTTCCTGCTCTTCCCTGTCCCCCTTTGAGGATGGGTCACAACTTATCACAAAGGAAAAGACTTGTCACTCACTTTCCTCTGACCAAGGATCAATTACCGGGATTTATACACACACCTTCAAACCAGGCTGTCTGCCCAGGTTTTGGTAGCGAGTCTCACTGCACAGGAGCAGAGAGGCACCTCAGGGCTGTTGTTACATTTATTTTGGGCTAATTTTGTCCCCATGAGTGACAGGAGCAGCACAGGGATGTTGTGGAAGAGCTCCCATTGCAGTTCCTCAACTACTCCCCCTTGGGGGTCTCTCCTCTCCTGTGCCCTCGGTGCTTGGTTTCAAAGTGGGACCACTCGTTATGGCTCCAAACACTGAGCAGCGAGCGCTGACTGTGCCAGACTTTAAGAGCCCCAAACCCAGGTAAATCAGTGACCCTTTAGTGCTCTACTCGGGGTTTCAAATGTTTCTGTTCTGCTTTAGTCAGTGAGGTCTCTGTTCAACAGGAACCTCTGGGGACGCTGCTGCAGGACCTACTTGGCAGAGGTACTCGCTCTTCTCTATTCTGTTGCAGGAGCGCAAATCTTAAATGTCATAGCCGGCAAAGCCTCCTGCTCCTAAATAAGCCATCAACCCTTCAAGGTAACAGTGAGGGGCCTCCCAGAGGTGTCCTGCGGGAAGAGGGGAGCAAGAAACTGTGGAAACCTTATGGATTTATAAATAATGTTCCCAGCTTGGACTTGTAGGGAGCAGATGATCCGCAGGGCCTGCCCTGTCCTCAGCAGCTCTGCCCTTCCTCCCAGCACAGGCATTTCTGCAAACGCCGGGAGCGCTGGATCATTAACCAGCGCAGACGTGCACCCCAGGAGCCTCCTGGTGCACTTTGGGCCCTCCCCAGAGATAAGGGCTATCAGAGAAAGGCAATCCCAGAGAACAGAGTCCTCCAGCACCACTGCAAACTGCTGAAGCAAGACCCAGGTACAAAACAAAGAGGGGGGGCTGCCCCCGGCCCCCTGCCAGCACCCTCGCACAGGGGAGGGAGCGCTCACCTCCTGGGAAGGCTCAGCCCACAGCCCGAACCTCTCGGCGATCATCTGATGGATTTCCCGCTGGCGATCTTTCTTACGCACGCTCTCATAGCTCGGCAAGCGGGGCTGGTCCCAGGAGGGGAGCTGGTAGCGGGGGCCGACGCAGAACAGCTCGTCTCCCTGGAAATGCCCAGCCCAGAACAGAAAGGTCAGCGCGGCCGTGGCTCCCGTCGCCGGAACGTCACAGCGTGGTGCCACCTCAAGTTACTTCAGGGTTCAAAGTTGCAGGTGCCCTTGAACCCCAAGAGAGGAAATCCTCCCTCGCAGGAGGTCATTACACCATGACCGGCTTTGCAAGGTCCCAAGCCCCGACGGGACTGCCTGGCACCATGGTGTCCTCTGCAGCATCCCCGCCCACCCCAGGTTTTTACACACAGGCAGCACTTCCCAAAGCTGCTCCTGCTGCTGTCCAGCCCCTTCTCCCTATGCCCCAGGAGCTCCCCAGGTCCCCGTAACCCCAATCTCTTCCCAAACCCATCAAGATCTTTGCTGCCATCTCTCCCCAGCTCCCCTCACCTGCACACCCGGGTTGTCGGCCGCGCTCTCCAGCCGCGACACTCCGCGCTGGGGACCCACCAGCCGCTGGCTGCTGCTGAAGTAGGGTGGGGGACGGTCCTGTAACGAGGGGTCAGGGAGGGAGACAATAAGCACAGCCGAAATCCCTCACATCCCACCCAGCAGTTCATGCGGGACAGCTGGGGAGCAGGGCTGGGGACAGGGGCAGAGACCCCCTCGCCCGTTCAGATGACATGGGTCTCACCGCTGACAGCCAGCTCTGCCTGGCTGACTGGCAGCCAGCTCTGCCTGGCTGTCTCTAAGATCTCTCTCTCTTTTTGGGGGACAACAAAAAACCAACCCAACTATTCCACTCGTGTAGGTAAGAGCTCCGTCACATGCTCAGGGTTACAGAATTTGTAAATGCTCATCTATGAAAGAGTCATTTCAGGATAATGTAGCAAGGACATCTGCAGAGCAAGAGCTGCTCTGGTCCGCAGCAGTCTTGCTCCAGTTCAGCTCGATTCCTTGGCAAGGTGCTGAACATCAGCAGAAATCCCTCTCGTGGAGAGCAGCCCCTCAAGCCAGGATTCGAGCTGTGAGCCGTGCCTCGCTCTCAGAAAAGCCCCATCTCTGCCAGCAGAAAACCATCCAGAGACTCCCAGAGCAACCAGCGATTCGCAGGGGGAACAAATGACAGATTTATTTTTGCTCTTAACAGCTGAGGAACCATTTGCCTCGGCCCCACGGCAATCACAGAAGCTGCAGGAATCTCGGCTGGCTGGAGGTGCAACTATTTGCTTTAATAATGGATTAGCAAAACCAGCACAACCAGCACAACTCCACCTGCCTGAAAGCTGCCTCACAGCACTACAACCGCTTCGCTTCTGATGGAAATACATCCTATAGACATTCCCTTTCCATATATAGTTCTTCGCATCCACATCCATCTGTCCACACAGCCCTTTGCTAAAGGCAAGATGCCGTCTCCTTCAACCGCCCACCAAGAGCCGTGCCCAGGCACAGCAAAGGCTCTGCAGCCCATGGCGCATCCTGCACAGCCCTGGGGAGCAGCTCTGCGGGGCGAGGAGCGCGGCATTCCGAGGAGAGCAGCGTCTGAGCCCTCTCCCTGACACATGCCGGGGAGGAAGAGGGGAAAGGAGCAGATGCAGTGAAGCAGGCAAAGGACACCAGCAGTACAGCCCATTCCCGCAGTGATTTCTGCTGGGGACTTCCCCACCTGTGCTGGACGGTTACATTTGCCTTTCATGGCTCAAGTCTCTCCATCCCCTGCTAGCTGAGGCTAGATGTCCCCTCTTCCCCTGGGGACTCTGCAGCGGTCCCCCCAGCCCTCCCCTGAGCAGCCATCCCTTCAGAAGCAGAGCTTTCCCCAGGCAGCCACCACCACAAAGGTAGCGCTGGCTGAACACGCTGCTCTTTTTCTGTCACCAGTTTCCCCACTTGAAAGCCAGCCCCAGAAAATTACAGATACAAGCAAAAGGGCTTTGTGTCTCGCTGCTCCGTGCTGGGAGCTGTGCACATGAGAGCCAGTTGCCAAGGAT